CATTATCAATAGTAAAGTGTCAATTTATAAATTCGAGAATAATATAATTTAAACTACAAAACCAACCACGCATATTACATTCAGTTATATTTGCGTACAATCATACCAATCCTTTAACTTGCTAAACTCACAACAAGCAGTTAAATATTCCATATCCGATTACAGTATGCGATTAAATAACTAACAATCCAGGGACTGATATATTACAAATCCGATACCTAACAGAGCATATTATACTAAATTACATTTAGAGTATAACCATACCAACCCGTAATACTTGCTAGAACAGCAACCTACAGTTAAATCCTTCACTTCCATGGACAACATACAATTAAGCAATTTAAATTTCATGATGTCAATTTAGCTTAATTGAATAAACTAACCATCCTGAGACTTAAACATGTTATTTAAAATTATATAGAAGCCCAATTACAATTCCAGATTTGCCCCACAGCCCCAAAAATTCAAAAAAACCTCAGAACTGCACTTATAGGTGCATTTTTTTGCATGGAGCCGGCTCCCCACAAGAGGGAGCCAGCTCTCCCTAGCCTAGAGCCGGCTCCCCACAAGGGGAGCCGGCTCTCTTTGCCCTAGAGCCGGCTCTCTCAAAGGAGAGAGCCGGCTCTCACTCATTTGAGAGCCGTCTGCACTTCTGCAACTTTTACGGCCTTTTGCCTCGTCTCCGGTCGCTTCCACCTCTTATGTTCTTCTTCTATACTGAACTTAGGAGTCTTATCTAATCCCAGTATCATCCCCATGGTTTGTTTACAGTGATTAGAAGCAATTACAATAACCACTAACAATACCAATTTAGCATGCTTAAAGAAACGAACTGAACTAAACATGCACTAACTGTAATAGAATTTAATTCAACACTTACAGATCATCAATACAGCATATTGTAAACATATAAATCCCAGTTACTGATTAATTAAACCCTAGAGACAGTCTAAGGATGCATAGAACACAGGTAACGGGAGAGAGAAAGGAAGAACTTGTCTCTTAAGGTTTCAGTTTGAAATCTTTAACCATCCTTTGTCTAGACTTTCCGGCAACCCCTTGAGTGTCGTCCACTCCTTTGTTGCCCTAGGTTCAACCCACAAGCAGCACTCATTTTTCCTCTCCTTGATTCAGCTTTGGTTCATAGCCGAAATCCTAACTAAACTCTCTCTGTTTCTCACAATTCCCTCTCTGTTTCTCTATGTCTCTGTACGCGAACAGAGTTCTCCAAACCCCTTTGTAAACTTATAACAGTATATATATAGACAAATATAAATCCTAAGTCTACATGTAATGAAAACCGAAAACCCAACTAAAATCCTAGTCGGCCAAAAACGTGATCCATAAAACTAAAACCCTAATTTAATATTACAATTATAAATACTAATGTAACCGAATTAATTCCATTAAATAAACCAGTAAACCATTTTAAACAATTAAAACAAGTAGTTCAATTAAAAGAAATAAAATACACTTAAATAACATCATTAAACAAACCACACAATTTAAATACAATAATTAAAACAAAATACAAACAATAAAAAAAAATAATTCATTTAAGTAAAACAAAATAAACCACTATTCAATAAACAATTTGACACATAGAAACAAATTTAAATTCCAATCTTATCCTTTTGAAAACTAGGGTTATTACACTGGTCGAGGGAGGGGTCGCTACCCTTCCTCTACTGTGGACGCGCCCCGCTCCAGTCAGATGGGCTCCTCCCCCCCCACGGCTCGATCGAGGGTGCTCTCAGAAAGAGCAACCTCGACTAACCTGTGTACACGTTTCCCTTCTTGGCAAAGAATACCTCGAGATAGAACTGGGATGGGAACCTGCGAGGTCATGAAGGCAGGACCTCGAAAGGGACCTATCCCCACTGAAGCACGGGAATCTGAGGACATGTGGATAGGTGGCTGAGATCTAAGGGGTCACCTCAGTCCGAGGCCAGCACAAGGGGGAAAGGATACCCGGTACCTAAGCTTGAGCGATAAAGGATAAGCAATGCATTAATTGCGAAAGACATTTGATAAGACCCGCATTAATTGGGGAGCGCCGTTACCTCCTTTGACCGGGGGGCAAAGCTCCGCGGCCCATCCATCAATGTCTCATCCGTCAGAGGAAAAGACCATTAACCTGTGGATAAGAGCGGGCTCAGCTAAAAGACTAAAAGACATTGACCGAGGAGGAAAACACTATAAATAGGGGTGTTGATTAGCCTTAAACACACACAACCACCACATTAACACTTATCTTCCGACAAGCTCGAGGTTACATAGTACCGAGGTCGGCCTTCCCTTTCTTAATCTCCATACCTAAAGAATCCCTTGTGTTGCTTGGATCTCCACTTGGATATTGATCTCAGATCTCTTGGCTTACGTGGAACGATTTCCTCATCCTATTCACGAACTACCATCAACATTAGTATTTACAGAGTAACATATGCTTTTTAAAAGGTAGGGGAGAAATGTTAGATTATGGATGGAGTGGTGGGTTCCATTACATGTAAGAATTGAAATGATTTCGGGGTACCATCTCTTATGGTATTTAATATTTTCTCCCACGCAAGTTGAACTATTTAAAAAAAAAAATTTTAATAAATAAAAATTTGATTAGCCTATTTATAAAATAGGATAATATGTTATATTTAAGTTGATTATATACTTTATAATATGACTTGTACAAATCTAAGGGTGCGTTTAGATAAGTAGGAGAGAAAAGAAATGATAGTATTAGTTATGAGAGAAAAAAAAAAGAAAAGAAAGGATAGCAATAATTTCTATTTATGTTTAGATAGATAGAAAAGAAAGTATAGTATTCTTGTTTGGATATGAAAGAGAGTAAAAAAAAAAGAGAAATGATAACAATGAAATTACCATCATATCCTTTAAAATAAATGGGATATGAGTGGAATAATAATTTCTTTCTTTTAATTGTTGAGAGTAGTTTCGGAATTATTAAAATACTACTTAAACACTATCATTTCTCTTCCTATCTTCTCATTTTTTAGAGATAGAAAAGGAGGGATAGGGAGGGAAGCTATCCCTCCCTATCCTTTCTTTTCTCTTATTTTAACCTACCCAAACACAATTTACAATATCCTTTTTTTTTCCTTTCTCTCACTATCCCTCCAAATCTATCAATCCAAACATACCTTAAGTAATTGAGAGTAAAATGTTTTTAACGCATACATTTGTCACACACTCACTTTGTCCCTCCGTGCTTATCGTTGTGTCTAATTTCATTTTCTGTCATTGCCATTATTCTATTGCATCGCCCTTTTTAAGTTATCAATTTTCCATTTATTGCACCATGTCATTTGGGTTTTTTTTTATTTTAAAAAATAATGATTTGGCAAAAATGGTAAAAAATTATTTTCTGATTTCCAAAAAGAAGAAGAAGACAAAGGGATAAAAATTTACCGCCAAAATAAAAAATTACAGTATTGAAATCCAAATAGATTTTGTTAAAACGGCTGTTTCCAGTGCTTGATCTAGTCCTTTATTTTAAAAAAGATGACAATATAAATGAATAAATACAGCTGTTTCCTTAACATCAGCAAAGACTTTGCATCTCATATTTCTCATATGAGGGATGCTAATCACATCGCCCCGTAACTGTGGAATCTCAATCACTAGTTGAGGAGTTGACGCGTGTGTTTTCTTTCTCAATAATTAATTACTATTTTTCTGCTAACTTTCTTTTGGGTCTCTCATTATATATAATTACTCTTCTAGCCTCTTAATTAAGAAATTTCAGAAACCTCACGGCTCCCATCTCACTTTAAAATTTTATTTTTTACAAAATTCCAATAATTAATTACTATTTTTATACTAACTTCCTTTTGGGTCTCTCATTATATATAATTACTATACTAGCTTTCAGAAACCAATGAAAAAGGTACTATAATTTAGTTCTCTCTCTAAAATTATCTGATTTTTTTAGATCCTTATTATCTATTTTTAAGTATTCGGTTGTTTTTCAAATAAAAAAAAAAATCAGATGAAAAAAAAAATGTATAATCTAAAAAAAAAAAATTATAGTACTTTTTTCTTTTTATTTTATGATTTTTTTTTTTTTTTTTTTTAATCTGAAAAATCAGAGCAATACTCCGAATACAAAGTATACGAATCTGAAAAAATTCAGATTTGAACTTCAAACATTAAGATATGGACTTTTGTATAAAGAAAATTTTAGTGTTGGAACTTCAAACATTTAGATATGGAATTTTATAAAAAAATAAAATTTTAAAGTGAGATGGAACCGGAGGTTTTAGATTAAAAAATAAAATAAAATAAAAAATCAGTGAAAAAAGTACTATCAGATCCTTATTCTCTGTTTCGAAGTATTCGGTTGTTTTTCAAATAAAAAAAAATCAAATCAAATAAAAAAAAAAAGTATAATCTAAAAAAAAATTTATAGTACTTTTTTCTTTTTATTTTATTTTTTTAATCTGAAAAATCAGAGCAATACTTCGAATACAAAGAATACGAATCTGAAAAAATTCAGATTTGAACTTCAAACATTTAGATATGTACTTTTGTAAAAAAAAATAATAATAAATTTAGTGTTGGAACTTCAAACATTTAGATATGGAATTTTGTCAAAAATAAAATTTTAAAGAGATGAAATCGTGGAAATTTATGAAGTTTCTCGGTTAGGAGGCTATTATAATAATTATATATAATGAGAGACCCAAAATTATTAGGAAAGAAAACACACGCGTCAACCCCTCAACTAACTACTGAGATTCTACAGGCGTCAACCCATCAACTAACTACTGAGATTCTACAGTCACGGGAGTGACTGTGATTAGCATCCCTCTTCTCATATACTTTCATGGGTTGCAGAGCAGTTCTTATTTGTCCCATTTTCATTCAAAGCACCATAACATTAAGTCACTGCTCAGATTTAGATTAGTCTAAAATTGCACTTTCATGTGTATTTCCGATTAACACACTAGCATTGACACGCACCAGTATCCGATGAAACCGCAATCTCCCACAAAAGAAAAAAAAAATCTTTAATTTTCAATCTCTGTTCCATTACACAAAATTTTATTGATTATGTGTCTCAAATAACAGGCAAATGAACAAGCAGAACAAATTCCGATGTCAACCCCAAACGTTCTACCTGTACTTAAAGCATAAACAACATCCTATCCATCATTCAAGTGAAGACAGACTTTAGCAAAATAAAAAGCCTCAACTCAATGAACAATTGCAGTCTATAACACATTATCACTAAGAGGACCTGAAATCAAAGACAATTGTAAGGCAAGCTGAAAACCTTGACCTAGCATAAATAGCAAGACGACAGCACTACCAGATCGCCAAAACTAGCTGTTGCTGTTGCTGCTGCTGCTTCTACTACTGGCAGAGTTGCTCGACCGCGGTCACAATCTGGGCAGGCTGAACCACAGTCCATTCCTCCAATGTCCCAGCATATGGTGTTGGCACATCCTGTGATGACAAACATACAATTGGGGCATCCAGATAATCATGGAAATTCTCACTAATAGCTGCTGTCAGACTAGCACCGATTCCACCTGTACGCATGCACTCCTCAACAATCAGCACCCGATGCGTCTTTTTTACTGAATTCCCAATCGTGTGAAGATCAAATGGTTTCAGTGACCTGATATCAATAACTTCAGGATCATAACCCTTGTTCACCAAAGTCTTGGCAGCCTGCATCACGTGATATCTCATCCGGGAATACGTTAAAATAGTGACATGCTCCCCTGGCCTAACCATCTCTGCTTCCTCAAGATTCAACACGTACTCTTCATCCGGAATCCTCTCCTTGAGGTTGTAAAGCAGGACGTGCTCAAAAAGTATAACTGGGTTGTCACTTCGGATAGCAGCTTTCATCAACCCCTTGGCATTATAAGGGGTCGAACATGCAACCATTTGGATACCAGGGATTGATTGGAAATATGATTCAAGGCGCTGTGAGTGCTCAGCCCCAAGCTGCCGGCCAACTCCACCAGGTCCCCTGATGACCACTGGTATTTTAAATTGGCCACCAGATGTGTAATGGAGCATGCCACAGTTGTTGGAAATCTGGTTGTATGCAAGAAGGAGAAATCCCATGTTCATTCCCTCTATAATTGGCCGAAGTCCAGTCATGGCAGCTCCGATGGCCATGCCTGTGAAAGAGTTCTCGGCAATGGGGGTGTCAAGAACCCTGAGATCGCCATACTTTGGGGCCAGGCCTTTTGTCACCTTGTATGAGCCTCCATAGTGACCCACATCTTCACCCACTACGCACACAGTGGAATCTCTTTCCATTTCTTCTTCTAGGCCTTCACGGAGAGCTTCAAAAAGTAAAAGCTCGTGCCTGATGATAGAGACAATTTTATTAACTGTATCCTACTCTAAAAAGGGAAGCCATGAGAATGACAAAAATAATGAAAAATAAGGACCTGCAGTTCAATGCAGTTTATGTGGTTCTTACCGTGCTTTTCCATGTATAACATTATGTGTACGAGGCAAACATGACATTCTTTTTTTCATCATGTAGTTGTCATTAAAATAATTGCAGAGACAAAAGCAGAGGTCTGACACACATCTGACAATATATGATACAGGTGTATGCTGTTTAATCTATTAGTGAACTACTGCCTACGTTTTTTTTTTTTTTTTTGATAAGTAACTACTGCCTACTATAGAAGACAACTTCCAAATTCATGTCGGAAGATATTATAATCATATCAAAGAGAAAGTTATGCTGATCATTTATTCAGCCAATGATGGATCCAGGAATGTCCCTTTGGGTCCTAAAAAGGGTTTCTTGCCATGGCGATGAATTTGGTCTCATCAGTAGTTTTTTTAATTATTTTTTATTATATAATGATATTTTAAAATATAATGAAATTAGGTATTATCTTACAAGACTATCGTATTTAAAAGTAAATCCTTATAAATCTAATATTTTAATTACAAAAATATTGACAAAAGGTACACAGAATTATTATAAAGCTATTAACTAAATTCTTAAATAAGGTATTAAAATTTTCTTGTAATGTCAACCAGTAATTAGATTGCAGGCAACTTGTAGCAGTGGTGAAAGTGATGCCATGGCATCTGAAGGACGGTTAAAGTTTCAATTCTTATCACTGTCAAAAAACCAATAATTAAATGTTATCTAAATTTACCTACTTTTGGTTTTATCATGAATGTTGAGAGACCTAAAGGGCCCTGGGCCCAGTATTGGAGAACTTGACAAGGCTATCAGAAAGGGGGGAAAAGTTGGGGGCCACTGCATAATTATACGACCTTCAGAATGGATCATTTTCTGATGTGCAGGACCAGTTTGGGAACTAGACCTAGGGACAGGTCTACTCTTCAGAAATAAGAAAACTTGCACACGAGGGTTAGTGTGTTAGTGACAAGCTAAGGTGCAAGGTCAATGCAGGTTTGCCAAAAAGCTTGGGGGAAGTTTTGGGATGTATTGATTTTAAACCCTCGACTCACAGTTCTCTACGAGTATTCTGTTTTTCTCCAGACTATAGGGGGCCATGGCCCCAGCCTACACCACTTAACCATCACATCTGCTAACATGCGCAGCATCTCAAGAAACATGTACTAAAAAAAGGTGACAATGGAACTTAAGGAACTAACAATTGAGGAAGCGCAACTGATAATTACTTCAATGTTTAAATATTAAACCTTGACAGTAAGCCAATACCATCTCATACTCTCCATTTAAATAAGCAATCATTTTGACCGCCTGCATCAATCACAATGTCCCACATAAACACAGAAGAATTCTCAGTCAAAGCAAAGTGGCTAGAAATGTATAATATCTAAGCAAATTCAGCAATGTATTTCATAAACTTTGCTTGTCAAATAATGCTAAGTATGTGACAAACAGCAACATAATCTACGTAGGAAGTACTTTTGAAGCCGCAAGCTTGCAAACTCTAAAAACACAGATATCTTTACATATAAATTTCTAGTAGCTAATTGAGAATCATCTAACACAAGTGCTACTTCGTAACATGCAATCAACCAAATGGCTCCAAGGAAACCATAGTATCTATTGGACTATCAGATAAACATATTTCAAAGAATCGTGATACACCTTATCTAAGCAAGATTAACAATTCATGAAAAATATATACATCATTTTCTATACCTTCATGAACCATCCATCGTGTTGCATATTTTCTGGGCCTTTCACAAAAGTAGTAGTTAACGAAAAACTGCATTACATCTGCTAAATATCCCTAAGATTTCTATACACTCCTACTTCAAATTCCATAAAAATTTTCACTTTACAAGTAAAACAAATATTCAAATATTCAGAATATAAAGCTTCTACATCTTGACTGTTTATAATGTGTTAACAGGTCGATTGATAATATGCAGAGCTATAATCATTTGTTCAAGTTTAGTTCTTTTTCTTTCACAGAACTAAGAAATAGTAAATGACGGCAGTGGATTGTGAATCCACCACGCGCGGGTTCAATCCCGCGTCGTTCGCCCATCCATAAATGGACCGTTTGTTACGGAGACACAAGACAAACAAACATGAAATTTTTGCTCCTTCACTTTCCTCAGCTTTCTTGGCAATCAAAAAGTGGATACAATTAAGTAAGTAACAAATAATTTTAGAGTCCACCCAAAGTTACTGTTTGGGGATGCATTTCTTATAATTAGAATTTTCATAGAGGTGAAAATTAACATATTGAAGTTGAACAAAACAGTAAGAATGATCAGAACAGCCCAGCACTGCATGCATAGAAGAGAAATTAAGCATACCCTGGTTTGGATGCCGTAGAAGCTGTCGAACTATCAGCCTTGGTCTACACAATAGAAGCAAGATTAAGATTAAGATTAAGATTAAGATTAAAATTTAAGTGCCAATAAACAAGAATTTATGTTTAGTGAGGTGTGTGTATGTATATAAATGGACAGATAGAAGGAGAGAGATTAACTGCAACGGCATTGGTAATCAATCGTTCAGCTCTGCAACCTCTTGGGTTGGAACCAGGGTTAGAGTTTCCATCGGATCTAACCACAAAGAACCTTGCTTTTCTCCCTGAAACAAATCCAAGCAAGTTGTATACTCAATTGAACTCAATTTCAGTGACCTCATTCAAATTTAAAGTAGATCAATCAAATCAGATCATAGTTGAAGAAAATTAAATTCAAACTACACCGAACCTGATAACGATCTGCGAGCTGATAATTGAAATCTCTTGGAATCGGAGGAATTGATGGATGAGAGAGCTGTGGTAGCTCCGATTCCTTGGAAAATCGCAGCCATTCTCTTGGAGAAAAGCTGTGGTTTCAAAAATCGAACGAATAGAAAGAATCAAATAGAGAGATGGGAAAAGTGAGAGAATGATATGAACTTATATGGAGTGAGAGAGAGAGAGAGTTTTAGAGAGAGAAAGTGGGCGGAGAGATTGAGGAAGATGGCGTTGCTAGTTCCTCTATCCAGTTTCGGCGATTTAATTGAGAGAGTGAGCGCCACGCCACGCACATTAACAACCAGTTTCTTCATTTGCACTTCGTGTTCTTCGCCGGCTCTGGTACGGTTGCCCTCAGTGGAGTTATGGTGCTCTGCAAATGAAACCAAGCAACGTGGTTACGGAGTATTTTACGTAGGGGCAACTGTGTCATTTCACAAGTTTTCTAGTAGACCTAATTACCATAGTGCTTCTAAACCTTTTCAAAATGTCCGTTTTATCCAACTCGTTTTTGTGATGTTATTGGGTAGAAGCGATGTAGTTGACTCCTCTGTGGTGAATTGTGGTTATGATATTCTTTAGTTGGTTCACCTACCAAGCCTAAAACCCTAACCGTAACAAGCAGCTAATTAATGTTTTGGAATGGTATCTTGTGAATCAGATTTGAAAAATAAATAAATAAATAAGAATTCTGATCCAAATTGTCTTGCACTATTTAATAATTTCTCATTATAATTTAAGATTGAAATACTTGAAAAAAAAATAATAATAAAAGAAAAATAAAAAGCTAATACAGTGTATCAATCTTTTACTCCGAGCATCACTTTCACATAATAGTGTTTCCGATTTTGAACCCGTAAGGTAACAATGGAGTAACAAATCTCCTCTCTCGGTAGGAATATTTGCATCTCCTCTCTCGGTTGGAATATTTGGATTCACCTTGAGGTTGGTTTCACCTTGAGGTTGGTTTGTTTGGATTTTTTTTAATTTTTTGATGTTTGATTGTTGTAAAATATTTACAAAGAAAAAAAAATTAAAATTTAATAAAAATAACTTATTTATCAAATTTCGACAAATTATCTTACCACATTATAAAAAACTAAACAATTAAAGATTTCTTTGTGGATCATGTCACTACAAGCCTTATATTATTAGTCTGGTGTTGATTAATGATAAATAGTGTTTGAAATGAGTAAAATTAGATTCGTGATTAGATTTGATGGTATTTTAATTTTGAAAATTTAGTATTTTTAAATCTCACAAAAAAATGGGTCAAATTTCATTAAAATATAGAATTTAATAAACTAAAATGTGCAGTTTACGCAATTTGACTCCTATATTAGTATCTTCAATTTCAATTTATTCTATATACAGAAAATGGAAGTTTATTTGAACTTATGTACTTTTTTATTATTTTTAATTATGAGAAGCAATAACTTTAATTACACCCACTCTCTAAAATAAAAACAAAATTTTCAGTGATTTGAGATTTGCTGCATCAATTCTCTAGTCTACCATTCCTCTCCTTTAGAAGGAAATTTTCCTTTCCTATTCTAATTTAGTGGGGGGGTAACTATTTGATTATACAGGATAAAACTAAATTGATGTAGCGTGAATGATCAATTCTCTTGGAGAGCATGAGTGATCAATTTTCTTGCATGAATTTGTTGCATCCTTCAAATAAAGGCTTTATTCGAAAATATAATTTGCAGTAAAAGCAAATAGATTAATCAATATACAAAATTTGATTCTCGGAGAACCGAATCCCTCCTTGAATTTGAACAAATTCTAAATTTAAGGGTGCGCCCAAGCATAACAATGAATATTGAGTCATTCTAAATAGTTTCTATTATCTAATTTGAAAGTAAAAGCTATAGTTGATAAAGCTGAACTATAGCCAAGAACTTACAGATGTAAAACGGGTAGAACTATAGAGCTATGGAATATGCCTGTATTACTGTATATTAATTGCCAATCATTTGTTCCTCAAGCATCAACACATGAATAATCAAAGTGCATCTTGAACTATCAACTTTACAGGATACTTATTGGAATTTCCAAAAATATGTATTTTTTTATTATTATTAAAAAACCCTTTTGCGATAGAAAAGATTATCAACTTGAACAGGTATATTATAAACGGCAACCCGCCGCTGAAGAAAAAGCTTGACTATAGTTGAGTTACTGGTAATCTATGGTTTAAGATGAGACTATAGCTCAAGGAAAGATCACAAATAAAAAAAATTTACAAATTTGCAAGTATATATATATTGACAAATACAGTTGGGTGATTAGGGTGGTAAGTGGGCAAGTTGGGCCGAATTTAGATTGAGTTGAAAATGAACGGGTTAAATATAGATCAAGACCCATATTCAACTCGCTCAAAACAGGTTGAAAATGAATGGGTCAAAAATGTATACGATTAACCCGTTATGACCCGTGGACTCATTAATTATTATTTTTTTATTTTTAATTATATCTAAAAAAATGTATAGGATCAACCTGTTAAGACCCATATTGTTGTTTAAAAAATAGAATTTTCTTAAAAATTTCGATATTTACAAACATGGAAAAGGAAAATGTAATTTGCATATTTGTAAATAATAAAATAAAAATAAAAAAAGACCCGTGATACTCGTCCGACCCGCTCAAAATATTGATGTTTAAAAAATAAATTTTTCTTAAAAATTTTGATATTTACAAACATGAAAAAGGAAAATGTAATTTGTATATTTGTTAAAATAAATAAATAAAAAGACCCGTAAAACCCGACCGACCGGCCTAAAATATTGATGTTTAAAAAATAAATTTTTTTAAAAAATTTTGATGTTTACAAACATGAAAAAAGAAAATGTAATTTGCATATTTGAAAAAAAATAAAAATAAATAAAAAATTGACTTGTGAAACCCGGTTGACCCGTCCAAAATAATGATTTTTACAAACATGGAAAAGAAAAATATAATTTGTATATTTGTAAAAAAAAAAAAAAAAAATGACCTGTGAAACCCGCACGACCAGCCTAAAATATGGGTTAGAACTAGGCTTGCTTAAGCCAGCCCAACTTGTAGCCCTTCATAAGAGAGAGAAATGAGTTTAGTGCAATATAGAATAGATGTGTGTTGTGTGTCTATTATGTGATGAGTGAAATATGAGTTGAATATGGGTAACCATATTCAATCCATCTTAACCCCCAAATTAAGTAGTTAAAAATTACCCAACCCATTTTTGACGGGTTGATAGTTTGTGACCCATTTTGCCATTCCTATCGATCACATCCACTTGTCTCATTTATTGAAGAATAAAGGGTTATGATTAAGAAAAACACAAAAACACATTGGCATGTGTTTCAATCACAACTCTATGTTATTATACTATGCATTACACGAGAAAAATGTTCTAATCTCATTTGACAAAATACCTTTCACATTGTGAAAAAGTACATATTTTTTTATTAAAATATTTTAGATGATATTGTTTATAAACCAACTGATTATGATTTAATTACAGCAAATACCTCGATAGTCCAGTAGGTTAGTACCTCAAGTGAATTTTTATAAAAAAATAAAACCCTTCCGATCAACGGCTCATTGGAATCCTCATTAGATATGTACGGTCCAGTATTTGCAGGCTTTAACACACCTGCCTTAATCGAATATTAGGCCAAAACACATGCATGTGTTTAGGCCCTTTTTAATTGAAAATAATTTTTTTTGGGCCAAAACACATGCATGTGTTTAGTAGGCCCTTAGCTTGAATATATATATATATATATATATATATATATATTTGGGTTAATTCCACTTACACCCCCTGACGTTTGCTTATATTCCACTTATACCCCCTCTACGTTTCATAATTCCACCTACACCCCCTGTCAGTAACCACCATTTAGTTTTCTAATAGAAATGTGTGATTTTACTTTTTTGCCGATAAATTATATATTAAAATTATAACGTAAATAAAAAGACTTAAACACCCTATATATTTCTCTCTACACACAGACACATGATGTAAACGCTGGTGACCAAGTTGGACGGCGGAGATCTCTTCACCTCTGTAACTTGTCGAAGATTGTTTCACCCAAGTCGAATGGCGATCCCAAGTCCAGTGAAGTTTAGTTCAGTCAAGCGAAGCTCGTAACGGAGGACGGCGACTATGATAAGAACCCGTATCGTCCATGGCTGCACATCGTCAATTTGAAAACCGACAAAATGTCTCCACACGAAATTTTCAACCCAGGCTAACATTTCTTTTAATTCAGTAAAAATCAAAATCTATAAGCTCTAACTAATGATGAATTTGAACTGCAACTTGTTTCCATTGAAGTCTCTAATTGTAGCATAAACCAATATTTGACTCATTCTATGGTAATAACTAGCTTAAGCAGTAAAAGAAAAAAAATGCTAGGAATATTACATCTCAGTATTTTTTAAACAAAGCAAAAGCTAGATGATGAATGATTAGAAAATTGAGAAGCTTTTTACTTCAATTAAACCAAGCATTCACCGATAGATCAGGCATTAAGCAAATTGCCATGGAATAATTTCATCTAAATGATTAGTGTTGATGGTAGTTCATGAATAGGATGAGGAGATCATTCCACGTCTGTCGTGGATGCTGAGATCAGAGACTGAGTGGAGCTCCAAGCTAGCACAAGGGATTCTCCATAGAGGAGATTAAGAGGAGAAGGCAGATTTGCTTAACACCCATGGTGGCACGAGTCCTAGGTGACCATTACTTATGGTTATAGTTAGGGTGGTGTATATGTATTTTCAGCCCCCTTAAATGGTGAGGGTTAAGCCTTATTTATACTACTTCATTTGGGTAAGGACCGTTGGTCATGAGAGCTAACTTCCTCTTTATCCAATGGTCGTTTTACCTAGGTAAGGACCCTTGGTTATGATGGTAGTTCTTTCTTTATCCAATAGTAATTATGTGAGATATACATTTAAAGTATTATGTAGTCTATTACTCGAGCTCAGCTATTGGGTGTTAAACATTCTCTCCCCCTTGTGTAGACCTCGAAGTGAGGCGATTCCTTGGAACTCAGCCACCTAACCACTGATACTCAAATTCCCGCAACTGAAGATAGGGAAAGAGCCTTCCTCGGGGCTTCACTTTCTCGGCCCCGCATGCTCTATCCTAGCTCAGTGTCTCGAGGTCCTTACAGTTAAAGGGAGCTCGAGAGAAAAATGTCCGAGGTCATGCCTGTAGGAAGCAACCTCAGAAAAGAGGGGATGAGGGGCCCGTCCGACTGGAGCGGGGCGCGTCCACAGAAGAGGACGGGTAGCGACCCCTTCCTC